GCAGCTTCAAGGCACACCCCAAAACTTGGCAAATTTGGTGAGACGAAGACTGGCATGTGAGCTAGGAAGCTCTGGGTTCAAATTTCACTTCTGCCCCAGACTTTGTTAGACAAACCTAGGCTAGTCAGCTTTCTCTTAGCTGCACCCCTTCCATCCGTGCTGTGGACATGACGACACAGAGAGTAAAACACGCCTTTCAGTGCTTTACTTCTTTAACGGAAAAATGTCTCATAAGGTTCGCTGATCAGCAAGATATGCAAATAAAAGGTGCTGGCAGTTAAAGCAAACCTCTTGCTCGCTACGAAGGGGAGAACCCTTCAGAAATTAAGCATTGCTGAATATCAGCGAGGAGGGGCTCGCTCGAGATGCTGGCTGGCCCAAAGCGCTGCCGGGCTCCTCTTCTGCCCTTAATAGGAGCTGCCTCTGCAGAAATTGCTAGACTGCAAGTCATCACAGCCAGGAGATAAACTCTGGGGTTATCTCCAGGTGGTGCAGCCAGCAGCCAATATACACATCGTGCACGAGAGAAGGGTCGGATCAAAAAGCAGGCAAGCCAACTGGCCATTTGATGGGGAGAGTGGTTCGAAGGGACCTTGGAAAGGTTAGCTTTCTGAGATGACACCTCCCAGAATCACCAAATTAGTAGGGCCACTGGTTGGGGGATGATGGGGCTTGTAGTCAGACTTGCCCATTCTGTCACCCCCTGTTTAGCTGTTGTCTGCTTTATGTTTCCCATGCAGAGTTCTTTCAGTGGCTTTAATTTGTTGTAAGTCGCCTAGAGTGGTCGAAATGACTAGATAGGCGGGGTATAAATACAATAAATACATAGAAAATAAATTGATGGTCCTGGATTTTTGCACTCCGGAGCATGCGTGTCCAGTGTGGCCACAACGCTAACCATGCCTAAAACCTGTAGATAACAGCACTAAACAAGAGAGGTAGACTTATTGATTTATGCATATAAAATATTTTTAACTCCACCTTTCTCCTTGAAAAGGACTCAAGGCAGCGGACATCATTAAAAGGCAATATTTAAAAGCTAAAAACAATACATATGCAAATATTTAAAAAGAGTCAAACAGATGCCACACTAAACGATGGTAAACAAAATCAACACGAAAAGCAGACTCAAAGCATCAAGGCAAAGCATTTCTTTCTTAAAACAACAACAGCAGCAGCAGCAGCAGCAACAACAACAACAACAACAACAACAACAACAACAACAGGCAGCCATTCTCTCAGGGAAAGCCTGTCTGAAGAGAAAGGTCTTTGCCTGCTCGCAGAAGGACAGTAAGAGTATTCTTTTTGTTCTTGTTATGTGTCGTCCAGTCAGAACTGACGCATAGCTACCCAACCAGGGCTTCCAGGGTAAATGAGATATTTAAAGAGTGGCTTTACCAGTTCTAGACTCCCAGGGAGTTTCCACAGGCGAGCGGGGATTCAAACCCACGCTCCTGAATCCAAGCCCAGCACTCTATCCACGACACCTGTCGCATCCCCCTAGTGTCCCTTGTTTGCTCTCCACAAGCACAGGTCCACCCTCTGGATGTGGTTTCTCTTTTTACGCTGTCACCAGTGGATCTAGGCCCCACTATCCCAAATATATGTATCTCAGACATGTGATGTTAATATAACAGGTTTATTGATTGATCTTTAATCACATATGTAAATCACAGTTGTTGAGGATCATTCATTCAATTGGGTTTGATTACACGTTTGCTTGCATGAGCTTTTATTCACAATAACCACTTTAACAATATTCTGTGATCATCTATCTATTCTCTATTGCTTTTTAACTCTTTACTATTCTCCGTCTGTCCCTCTAACTCTGCCCCTCCTGTCCTATCATAGGTTCCTACACCTGAGCTCCATATGATGGACAGGAGTGACATGGGCATTCCGCCACAATACCACACTAGGTGTGTAGATTTATTTATTACTCGTTATATGAAACCAACCGCAGGAAGTGATAACAGATAACGAAAGAAATAAGGCAGCAATCAATGCAACCCACCCTCTATCTCAGCATCCACTTCCAAAGGATGATATTCATTCGCTGGAGTAGCAATGTGGGCATGTGAAGAAAACCGGACCCTGGCATGTCTGTGTCCATGCTCACAAATGTCCTACAACATGCGTGGAAGAAGATCTGGTCGGGAGAAGAGCTGGTGCAATTTGATATT